TTTTATTGTGGAGTAACTCAGTTATTAACTCAGTTACTTTTTGGGAGAAGTAACTAGTAACTATAACTAATTACTTTTTCAAAGTAACGTGCCCAACACTGGTAAGAACCGAGGTTCGGATGTGATGTGACTCACACTGTACGTCTTCAAAGACAGGGCGGAGTATTGAACAATCCCAATATCCAAAGCAATAAATACAATTAGCTAGAAACGCGTGATGTGAAAATCTCAGGGGAAAAAGTTCTCAGTGAGGTAATGTCACCTCTTCAACATGATTATAAAGCAGGTTTGATTTTCTTGAAACCCACGATTTCTGATCAGGAGCTCGTCATAATGTGCTTGCATGACGCACAACACATGACCAAACACTGCATGATTTTTTGGTCATTTTTGAAACAATTATTAATTATTAAGAGGTCTCTGGACATTTTATAAAGAAATCCTTTGGCTTTTGCCACAAAATTGACAATGCGTTGTCATACCAATCCAAAGCATGCAGCCACATCAAAACAAAAAATATATATATATAGGGGAGTGGCGGCCTATTGGTTGGGGCATAGAGCTTGGAATCCTGAGGTTCTGAGTTCAAGCCTCACTCCAACAGCCTCTGAATTTACTGATGTTACTCTGTACTGTACCAAAGCCAACGTATGGTATGATTTTAGGAAAAGAAAGAATCCTTCAATCTCTATGTGCTTCAACCTTCTGAGATCAAAGTGTTATTGTTGTTCAAAGGGCTACTCAAAGATACAAATAAACAGGAAACATGGCAATTATAAATTACTTTGTAGTGACATATAGCATGTTCTTACCTAGAAAAGAGAACTGCAGAGGTAGCTTACTAAGGGGAGTGCTGCTACTAATTAAAGGTAGTGGTGTGGTGGATGGTGCAGTAGTACTAGTAGCATGGAAAGGTAAAGCTGCTGTGGGTAGTGTAGTAGTCGTTGTATGGAAAGGTAGAGCTGTAGTTTGGGGTTTTGTAGTAGTAGTAGTCTTAATCAGAGCTGTAGTTGGGAGTGTAGTAGTGGTAGTAGTAGTAGTCCTAGGTAGAGCTGTTGTTGGGGATGTTGTAGTAGTAGTCATAGGTAGAGCTGTGGATGGGGGTGTAGTAGTCATAGGTAGGAGCTGTTGTTGGGGATGTAGTAGTAGTAGTCATAGGTAGAGCTGTTGTTGGGGATGTAGTAATAGTAGTCATAGGTAGAGCTTTGGATGGGGGTGTTGTAGTAGTAGTAGTATTCATAGGTAGAGCTGTGGATGGGGGTGTTGTAGTAATAGTAGTAGTCATAGGTAAAGTTTTGGCTGATGGTCTAGTAGTAGTAGTCATAGTTGTTGGGTGTGTAGTAGTAGTAGTAGTAGTAGTTGTGGCTATAGCTGGAGATGTCATTGATGGGGATCTCTTCCCTCTTGAAGCCATTGGATGCTTGCGAACACTCGATCCATCAGAATAGGACAAATCAATGGTGCTGCGTGGATAGTCTTCTACAACCATCTCAAAACCAAAGACACTTTTTTCATGAGAGGTTTGCTGATAGTGCAATGTACAAGAATCCTGAAAAAAACACAGTTCATTAAAAAAACAAAAACAGATTTTTAACGTTTTGACGCTCTCATAATACGATTATGATGTTTTAACTGACCTGGTCAAGCTGGAAGCCTGAGGGGAGATGGCAATTGTCACACTCGAATCCATGTAAATTCCCATACCTGCAGCGGACCCTGTCACCATCAGGATCAAAGGCAGCCAGTTTGTATGTTCTGGGGCAGTTCTCAGGGACTCTATAGTAGATACAAACACATAATGTAAATAAAATCAACTGTGCAAAGAGACTTCAGGAGAACCAATGAAAACCTCTGAGGTCTCTGAGTAGTCAAGTCTACATCTTGTGGGATGTAATGAGAAGGATTTAAACACCTATAAATCTTAATGTTCATTTCTTAATAAATTGAACTATTCTTTACATCAGATGGTGTGATATTATATAAACCAAAGGTACCTTAAAAAGGGGACAATGGCAATTTCAGGTGATTTATTTGGTTCCATCGTGTCTGATCTTGTACCAAAATCCACAAGGGAATCCAATCTCCAGTTTTGAACTGAGTTACGTGTTGGCAACCAGCAGCAGCTAGATGCTCTGATATTGTTGAAGGAAAGAACAAGATAAACATTAATTTTAACTTTGGCTCCAAAACACAGCAGTTATGGTTCTAATATATGATGCTAATATTAATACTAATTCCACTTATTGACATGTGAACATATTTTTGCGTTTTCTATCAGCTCACCGGAATTTCAAAGGCTTGTCACTCAGTAAGGTCCATGTCTCAACAAGTTCTGTTTCGCACCATTGGTTTTTATAGGATGGTACATTGGTGCTTGAGTCAATCTGAGTTTTGGTTTTACTGGTTGAAATACCACAGTTGCCGCTGTAACAACTCCAGTAATGTGTATAAACACAGCTATCATAAGTGTCTCTGGCTCGGAGGGACATCTGTGGGGCAAATGAGACAGAACACAGAGGATGTTTTATAGGTTTGATTCTAGATAATTCAAAGGAAAGAGAGGTGATTACCGACAATTTTTTCAGAGTGCATTACTATTAGGCATGAGAAATAATCAGATTTTGGATTGATTTAATGCCCTTTATTTACTATGTAGTGCTCTCTCCGCTCAACTCAAGTTGTTTGCTTTTAGCCCAGAGTTAACAGAGAAGTTTGGATAATACAGGCTGAGAAAAAGAAATCTATTTCAGATTAAAATAAAAGCTACACTCAAGGAAACTGTTTTTAATACGATTCCTTTGGTCATTATTTTGACGACCTTTAACTGTTGCTGTTTCAGAGAAAAATGCAGCAGTAGTTTCGATGCAGCACAGAAGATAATTTTGTACTGTATTGTTTTTGGACCAATTGCAGTGCAAAACAACTGAATGCATAAAAATCTTAAGATTAGTTATAAAAAATAGCTTTAGATTTGTTTCTCTAGTCTGAAGATTTTGAAATCATTTGCTTTAATACAGCAATTTTAAACACAACATTTAGATCTTTAATTTTCATAATGATTTTAATTAGGGTAAGGGTTGAATATGGGTTGAATAAGTTAACATTTCAACCCTTTAGTTAAAATATTATCTTTTTCAAATAATGTTGAATAATATGTCAAGAGTTATTATGTTCAGATTAAACGGTGGTTTTGTAAGACCTTTAATCTTCGGAACAAATATTCTAATTTATTAAATGTGACTGTATGCACTAGTTGATGTGAAAATAAAGACTAAGTATGAGACTACTTTTTATTGCTTGTTAGTTGAACACTTTATTGAAGTCATGAACTTTTGTTTATTTTGGATGTTCTTTCAACTTGACTCAATATCAAATTTTCTGTTTTGATTTTCAGCTGTGCTCAAAAAGCCTTTATAATTGAAGCAAATGATTTAAAGGTAATAAATAAAGAATTTCAAGGTAAAAAAAATCCTGCAAACCTGTGAAAATTGAAGGAATAGTTCATTAATATTAATAATAATAATAATATTATATTATTAAGTTACAACAGACTAAACAATAACACATGACAATAATAGCATCCTATATTTGTACATAAAAAGTAATCTTTCTTACCTTAAAGGATCCATCAGGGTTCCTTCCTTTGTAGGCAACATTCAAGGTTCCTCCCCAGTGATGAGATGCTGAGACCAGGGAGGTCTGCAGGAGCAGCTGGAAAAGGAACAGCACTCTGGAGGCCATCATGATGCTTCAGTCTCAGCTTAGTCTCCGCCAATGTTGTTTGCATCTAGATGCAGCATCATATATACAGACGGCTGTGGGGTTGAAGGAGTGACGGTCAGGGTGAAATAATGCTTAGAGGGTTACCGAAGTAAGAGGAAGTTGCAAAACTGGTTTGGAACAAACAAACAGCACTTGGAAGAGATTGGCATTTAATTGAAAAAGATATGGGGAAGTGAGAATGCTATCTATTTAATCACAGCAAACTTTGTTTGCTTTGTTTGTTTCTAGGTTTCCACCGAATTTGAATTTTTTTTTGTGGTTTTATAGGCGATAGAAAACCATAAAAAACAAATTTTCTAACATTTGACTGTTATTTTGCCTTTCAATGTCCATTTTGTATCTCTTTATCTTTTGACATCATATACTTTTAATAATGTTTAGTTTTGTTACCTTTTTAGGTTGGTAAAATGTAGTTGTGAAGACTGTTTATATCTTAACTGTTTATAGACAGGATCTCATGACATTATTAATGAGGAGGAAGGCAAGCTTTGCGTTTTGAAAATGATGAAGTTTTAGTGGCTCTTTAAGGACATGCTCTCTTACACTGGATGAGTTTGCTGTTGCATGAGTGGTCAGGATGACTGACAGCTCAACTAAGTCTGAGGCCATGGATTTGGACTGGACAAAGGAGGACTGGGGGTCAGTTTCTACCTCAACAGGCGGTTAAAGTATTTTTGCATCTTGTTCAGCAGTGATGGTATAATTGGACAGGGTGGGTTTACAGTAGTAGCCATTTAAAGTTTAAATTTTCACTTTCCACTTTCCTTGATCGGCCCTTGGCTGGTCTTTGGCTGGTCCCCTACAATTCCTTTTTAAACATAAATCTTTGTACTAAAATATTCTGTTATGATTTTTCGACATTAAAATCTATCACCATCTCCTGGTCAGACCCTGTAATTAAGTAAAAAGGATGGAGTCAGAGAAAAAAAATATGCAGGCCCAGGAGAAGGAGGGGTCACTCCAGTGGCTGGAAGTTGGAGTGGATTCTGCTGGGAGTTGCAGGGAAGTGGACTGCCATTCGGCTGGCATTTGACTCGGAAGGACCATTAGTGAGAAACTTTGTGAATATGTGAAAGAATGATGAAGGGTGGCTTTTGGCTGATGATTCTTCAGCCTGCATAACGGACGGCAGTGGTTTTGAAGAGACCTTCTTTCACGTCTGCTTTACTATTCCAGTAGGCGTGGAGTGTGAAAGATTCTCAAGGGCTGCCACAGTTTCCATCCTGCAATGCTGTCAACATTAGTGCATCAGTTTACTGTTGCACCTCCACTAGTCCCCACAGCTGACGAATTATAGAAGCAACCCTATAGCATTCAAGAACACATTTGCATTTGTCTGGAGGTACCTGTCAGTGAGAAGGCGTACGCCCCAGTGAGCTACATATCCCTATAACATTTTGATGCAGAATAATACTTGGTAATAAGATAAGATTAAATAGACTTTATTGATATCACAGTGGAGAAATTAACTTGTCACTTAGGCTCAATAGTCAAAAGAAGGTGCCAAAAGGAGGAAAAAGTGCATATACACTGTACATATATAGATCTATATATACACAGATCCATATAGATCTGTATATATAGATATATATCTTTATATACAATATATATACTGTATATATTCACTGTATATACCCTTATGCTCATCGTGTCAAACAAAAGTTAATTCCAATCTAAAAAAACACAAAATGGTATAAAGTAAATTTTCTCAGAAAAGCAGCCATTAATTACAATTAATTACATTTGGTCAGATTATAATCAAGATCATTTAAGTCATTAGCTAAGAAATCGATTTAACAAACAGGACTTTTATTGTTTTTGTGGCCTAGTGGTTAGAGCATTGTGCTTGGGTCCCAGAGGTTCTGAGTTGAAGCCCCATTCCCACAGACTGCCACTCTGGGTCGCTGAGCAAAGAGCAGTAACCCCACACTGCTCGCCTGGCACCACACAATGGCAGCCCACTGCTCCCCAAAGGGATAGTTAAATGCAGAGAGTGAATTCATTTTGTTTTGTACTTGACTTTGTACTTGACAATGCAATGACAATAAAGTTAATTCGATTCTATTTTTTTTGTATTTCGCACACTTTTAAAAGACTGTAAAATAAAAACTAAATGTTCTTTTGCATAACAAAACATACAGTTAAGTACTAAAGTATGTCACCATGCATTCATTTTGTGGTTCAAAACATTTCTTGTTTAAAAAAAAAGTATTACCTACAGTGAATAACAATGTAGAAACTTATCCTCCTTTCATTGGTTAGATTGTGTTTCTCAACTAAAGCTCAATTGTTCAGCTTTAGCTGGGAAACACAATCTACCTCTTGGCTTTGTGCCAACTAACAAGGCACACCAGTCTCTTAATTTTACTAGAGGAGAGAAACTCTCTGAAAAATGTGTCCTGAGAGGGAGAACAGTGTAACGTGGTGTCAGGTGCTGAAAGATATTCGCAGGCAGTGAGATATAGTCTAAGGTGTGAGTTCCTTCTTTTTGAGCACCATTGCCGTGGGCACAGATCTATGTCAGTTTTGGATTTTGATTTCTACCTGTCTGGTGCATTAGGAATTAACTCTGCTTCATTGTCTGTGTCTAAATAATATTATACATGCAGGAAGGTGGAGATCTTCTTTACTAGTCTAGTGTGTGAATGGGTGAATTAATGTAGTGTGATGCGCTTTGGTCAAGTCTCCTAACTTGAATAAAGGCGCTATATAAGTACATGCCATTTACCATTTACTAGTGGTTAGCCATTTGTTAAAGCGACCTGGATCTGGACATTTTAGCTGCCCTCTGAGTTTTTTCTAAAAAAAACTCCACACCCCTTTTAGATTTAGCCTGGCATTTAAAATCCTTAAATGTCGTATTAATTGCAGAAGCAATCACAAATGGTCTTTTTGGAATCATCCTCTGAAGGCTTCATGACTCTGAAAAGGTGGCAGAAGGCAGACAACACCACGGAACAGGAGGTGTTATGATGGAAAACGTGGATTGGATTTTAGGCTACTCCAGCAAATACAGAGAACCCCTGCTTCATCAACATCGAACTGTTTAATGCTCAATCCATCACAAACAAATCTTACCTCTTACATGACCATGTTATGGATA